TGATGACTGATGTATTATGCCTATGTAGGAATAATATAGAGGAATAAAATATTATATTGCGAAGCGACCGGCTTGTCATGATCGAACACGTGCTGCAGTGACGTGCGTCGTATTTAAGTGTCTATACAGTTTATACTGAAATAATATACCTATATATGATATGCGCACCGTTCGCGTATCGTTTATATGGTCAATAGAGGTTTTGGCGATAATTCGGAGATTAATTTTTTTTAAATGTTCTTAGACTGGACGGCGAGAAGCCTAGGACGTTCCCATGAAAAATAATATCACGTTGTCAAAATGTGTAATCCGACTCCGCGACGACTGAGACCTTAAAAAATATATAATCGGTATAACACCCAAACGCGTCGCGCGTATGGCCCACCGCCGCTGGTAAATGGAAACTGTTATTACGAAATAATAACATTATGATATAGACACGCGCGCGTGGGTCGGATAAAGGTAGGTTATAATATTATATATACCTATATACGAATTTAATAATAATTACGTTTTCCATTTATTTTTTTTCTTGTACGAATTCGACTTGCGGTGTTTAAAAGTGTTTTGGAGTGGAGTGGTTCGGGGTTACCCCGCGAAATGTTTGTCCACTCACCGCTCGTCTAAACTTTAAATACTTATAACTCATAAACTACTCGCCCCAAATTCAATTTTCATGTATCAAAATACTAAGAAAAATATTCTACTTTAGAATATAAAATTAAAACCCTATGTTGTCGTTCAAAAAAGTAAAAAACTTAAAAAATTATAAGGATAAAAAATAATTAAAAATATAATTTTTTAATAAAAACGTTGTTTTATAAGCGACTTGAAACTATGTAAAAAAATATCTTCAAAAAAATTTACACTTTTTGAAATAATGAGTGTTGTTTGATAAAAGAATCACCCGGTATATAATAATATGTTCGTTTATATAAATCTTACTTATGGTTTCCAATAATTATCGTGACGTAATTTTTTTATGCGCTCAGAGATTAATACGATTATTAAAAAAAAAAAAAAAATAACAATAATAATATCAAAAACCGCGAAAATTTAATAAGCCCTACCATATAGTTGTGCAAAAAAAAATAACATAATATATTACACAAGTACCTTTATACTTTTGTTTGAATCTTACTTATGGTTTCCGATAATTATCGTAAAATCGTTTTTTGTGCACTCAGAGATTAATAAGATTATCAACAAAAAAAAAATTATAAATAATAAGCCCTTGCATAGATGTGAAAAAATAACATATACCTACGTATAATATTACACACATACCTACGTTATACATATAACTCATATAAGTAATCGGAGACCTATTTTATAACCGTATAAATTTACACCACGGACGGGTTTTCATCTTTTGTAAATGGGCCACGGGCCATGGGGGCACATTAAGAACTGTCGATATGTAAATTTCCCCTCCCCCCTAAAAATGGACTTTCGGAAACATTTTATTTGCATGTATATAATTTTACACTGTACATTTTACATAATATTTAATAATAGGTATTGTATGAGTATCTACTGCAATTTTAACCCTATCTGTACGTTTATATTTTCTACCGTATGCTTCTAAAATGAGTTTTAAAAAAACAAACAGATTCAAAAATCATAAAGCTGGTAGAAAAATATACACAACAAAATACAAGTTTGGAGTGCGGGGAGTTAAAAATTGTATATTCGTTATTCGACTATATATACCTATAATAAGTATAAAGCCCACCGAAAATCAAAATCTGAAATCCACCTTTATGTCACAGTTCTAAGTATAAACACGTCGGCTTGATCCGAAGAAAAGAATTAAAATGGAGTTTCAAAATATACATATTAATATTTGTCTGGGTCCATGGCGCTGAAATATACGCCCATAACGTGCGCATGATTTGGAAAGTCATCGACCAGAACGCTTATAATATACCTACGAATATAGCTGAGGTGTAATGTACTATATTATTTAATAATAAGTAGGCACCTATACACGTAAAGGAAATTAAATTCAGCAAGAAATCATGAGGAAAACCAAATCTTATGAACATAAAAATTTCTGAATTTTTTTATGTTTATACAGTCTTTAGAAATAAACCATAATATTTTTAATTTGTTGACTATTTACAATAGGTGCCACAGAATACCGTACCTGTACATAATTATTATTGTATTTTAAATTAATGATATCGATGTAAAATGTTAATAAATAATAACTATTAATACAAAAACCAATGAATTTTAACGACATCACTATAGGTACAAGTATTATTCATAGACCTAAGATTCAATAATGTATTTTTTTTTTACTACTCAACATCACTTATATAACCACTGTATATTATAATAATAACTGTCTAATCAACTAAAATAAATATCTCATTTATTTTATCGGCGAGTATATGGAAACTGTATATGAATAATACTGTCAAATCCTCTTAATACGCTCTTTATATTATACGAGTGGCCTTTCAACAGTTAATTATTTGTACACGACTGTTAATAATACTCAAGTGTATTTAAAATCTAAATATATACTTGACAGAAAAGTTATATAGTTATATAATGTTATATACCCACTTACCAGTCACTTAAAAATCATTTATGAATTATTTTCAAAAAACGATATTTTTTTTTTAACGCGTCATATTATTCATTACTTTTCAAATTATTTATGTTGTGACTCGTAACATTTTATAATTTTTCGTTAAAATTAGAAATTCCAAAAAACAAGTTTTCTAAGAACGTTATCACATATAGGTAGTTGTGTAGGTAGTGACATTATAAAACCGGCAAAATAAAATAAAATAATGGAGATACGCTGTGCGCAGATGAATAGGATCCGAATATTATAATAATTTATTTTATATTAACTAATCGTGTTATTAAAAAAAAAAAATAATGATATTGGTTGTAAACTATTATAATATAATAATAATTAAAAACCAATTTTTATATGAATTGTTGTTTACTTTCAATCATTGTGTGGATATTTAACTAGGTAACAAAAATATAAAATTACTAAATATAAATACAAAATATACAATATATATTGTTAGTAAGTATAATGTAACTCAATTCCATAGATCTTGTTAATAAAAATTTAAGTGCAACATTATTTTGGTTTTCTCTGCTGCTAATAAATAGAAATATTTATAAAACCATTTTTTCCCAATTCAATTATAATATAGATAAAAAAAAATGTAACCAATTTTTGGTGTGAAACCTAATTTATTTATGTTTTTTGAACAACGAAAAATGATAGACATAGTTGCACATTTGACATTTGCTTAGAACACAATGAACTATATACAGGTACCTACCGAATAGAATATAGACTAACATTAAAATAGACAAATGTTTAATGTGAAGAAAATCACCATCCTTGCAGTTGGAGCATATCGAATAGATGACGCGGAAAAAAGATTACACACAAAATCCTTTTTTTTTATTACACTGACACATAATATGATAAATATATTACATAGTAATTAAACCAAATGTATATTGCAGAATCGACGATTATTTTAATCTCTTTTCGATAAAAGATAAAACGCATTAATCAGCTTATAGGCCTTGGAGAAAAAAATGAATGCGCACGATTTGCGCACGTTTAGTCCCGAACTCTGAGCGCGTACAGCTGTGATGGGGTCGGCGATGGTATCTGAGACCATAGGCACGACGAGTCGAAAATACGCGTCATTTGATACCTTTGCGTCCGTCCGACGACGGAACGTCTTCGTCCTAATACAGTCGCCGGCCGTGTCTCTCGTCGGCCACGAAAAAAAGCATTTTTTCCTCTCTTCCTTTTTTTTTCCATGTTCTCCCCGTTGACACGTCACCGCAACCGGTGTCACGTGCAACGCAGATATATATATATATATATATATATATATATATAATTATAGGCTGCGCGTTATAATATATCGTTCATCAATCATCGCGTCTTGTCAAAATTGGATACGCACACACACAGAGAAAGAGAGAGAGAAATAGATCTAAAGAGAGCCATTTTGTGCGCACGTCTACTGTATATTATAGTCGACTCCGTTTCACCGACGAGAGACCTTTCAGACTACTAGTAATTATTAATTATAGTATAAATATGTCACATCCACTTATTATATATTACATTATTATATAAATCGCTCTTACAGAAAGAATAATAATATTATGTATAAAGTAAAAAAAAATGTTTTTCTAAAAGCCATGTATAACTGTCATAATATAGACTCGCAAAATGTACCTATATAGTTTATCATGTTATATAATATACACGTTCGATTCTTGATGTCCGTCAGTCTAATATATTATGATAGCAGCAATGTACCTAATCAATTCAGTGGCGGTGTGACATTTTTCAGTCTTTGAAGTAATATTTATATAATTTAAATAAGCACCATAACCGTTCACCACTATCTGTTTTACAACGCGGGAGAGGACCATAACTCTTGAAATCCGAAAACGAATATTACTTTATAGTTACTAGGTAATAAAACAGGTCCGGGCTTAATATACTATTTGTGCAAGAATCGCCTCTATAGCTCATCAATCACAAAAATTCGGTTACAAAATAAACGCATAGAAATAATGAACACGGCAGCATCCAACGAATATATAAAACTGTTTTGATAGAATCAGAACTTATGGTATCTCCACTATCGATGTACAGATTTTAGAAGATGCGATATATGTTCCGAATAAAATATAATATAGCCTATATATATGTAAACATATTGAACTAAACAATCGTTTTAAATATGATATTCTATAAAGACCTAGGTATATAAAATGTATTTCTGTCGTATAAATTCATTATAAATAATTAAATGTGCAAAAACGATAATATATATAATATCATTATACTACATATATATTACATAAAAGTATAACGATCCATACGAATAATTTCACCAATTTTTGTTTCAGTACTCAATTATTTTTTAAGTGACAAAAAAACGAAACGCGAGACATGTAATTTATATTAAATAAACCGCTCTCACCTGTCCACTGATGTCCATCTCGTTGTTGGTGAGCTTGACTTTTTCGAACGACACAAACGTCTTGTGCAGCTGGTCACCCGTGAACGGTGAATCGGGGTGAGTGTACAGCCGATGAGGGGCTGGTGGGTCCGCCTTGCCGGCAACCAGCCAAGATGACTTGTGGTACGCGTACCGGTATCGTTTGTTATCCACCGGTACGATATCTATGAGCACCGAATACTTTTGGTTTGGATCCAGCTTCCGGAAGCACACGCGCAGTGTGGGGAACATCCTCCTGCAAACCACGTCGGATGTCAAAATCAAATAATATCGCAAATGGAACCTATTTTGTATTATATACATTTGACCCCTCCCTCCTCATCAGCTAACACCAACTATATGGTGGCTTAACCTCTTATACCCAAATCCTGAAGGTCACCCCCTTTTGTAACTTGAAATTAAATATCTGTAATCTAAAATATTTTAAAATAAAATATGACAAATATGTAAATATTACAAAACTTTTTTAATATATAGATAATATTTATCATGGATGCATCGTACCAATAATAACGAAGATATTGGATTTTCCGTTTTTTTACCGTTATGACAAAAAATTAATTTAACTGATTTTCGTTATGTAGGCAGTAGGCGTATCTCAGTAGTCAGTACTGTTATAATATTTAGATTTTGAAATGCCACTGAAGCAACATCACAATTTCAAAAAAACCTTATTTCTGTTGCTTTTAAATTAAATATAATATGATAACCACAAGTCCACAGTATGCTGTAGAGAATGGGAAACGATATGTACACTGTTCCTATTATTATATGAACGTGTTACGTCCTTTTCATAGTTAATATGACATATTGACATACCTCCTATAACCTTAAGGTATTTGTTCATCGGTGTAATATTAGTTTGTGTACTTCGTATGTATACGAATTTTTAAAGTTTAACCGCATAAAACTATCGCAATCAATTCTTGCTCGTGTGACGAGGTCGGACGGGACGCGTCCATTACACCTGGCAAAGCCAAGCTACTAACTTGTTCAGAAAGTTAAAATTAAGTTTAAAAGTTACAATGTAATAACAAGTTTATAACTCAATCGGTTGGTTTCGGTTCTTTATACTGCTGCAACTGACTTAGTTCGTAATTCGTTGTATCGGAAACGTGAAAGTATATAATTCACTTATATAGATCTAAACTCAATGCACTGCTATAGAAATATATAACAATATTGTAGTCGTACGTATACGGTCAATTAATGTCATTATTTTTTCTAGTACACAAGATTACTAAACATCAGTAAGAAAAATTCACCGTTCGATCATAAAATATAAACTATATAATATGTATAATAATAATATAACACACACGATTTATGGAAATACTAATTTATATTTTATACTGTATGTATAATATGTATTGTAGCTATGGTAGATATAATATACATCATTCGAGTTATCGACTATAATATATTATATATTATGTCATTACGAGAGCAGACCTATTTACTCGATCAAAAAGATTTTCACTGAAGGTTGTATATTATATTAAATCGGATATCCGGAATGTGTAGAAGTAGGTACATCTACCTGTGGTATATATTATTAGGTAGGTACGTGCAGTTTCGCTGCTGTAAAGGATATAGGTATGTGCAACATATATAAGTATAGCTATAATAATAGTATGTTGTAGCATATATTATATATAGTATAAATATTATAACGATATGTAACAGTTGACTATAAAAAAAGGAATCGATTAAAATTGAATATAATATACTTCGAATCAAATAATTGTGGACTGGTTTATAACACTATATAATATATTATACGGAGTGGCTTGAGAATAAGAAACGTTATATTATATATGTAGTAGCCTATAGCAGCTTTTATTCAAACTCGGGCTATAATCATTTGCCCCAAGTGCATAATATGCACTGCAACTGCAGTTCTATCCGACCTGCATAGGTCGAGACGTGTGTGAATTTCAAAAACTATATAACATTAAACTCGGTCTACATAATATCTGATGAGTCTCTCCATATTATATACTCTCTGTCAATCTAAGACAACATTATTTGCCTCGTATGATCGCGTTGTCTACAAATTTACGGGTTCTTTTTCGTACATTGTCGTATTATACCAACAAAAAAAAAAAACAAAATAATATATGTAGTACTTCCAAATCTGTTAGTTTTTATATTTTCCGCCACTTCAACTTGAACCAGTTTAAAATTAAAGAGCTCGTACGCAACTTGTCGTCATTATTGCTGTGTATAACCTATATAATTGCATTACACGACGTAGGTACCTACTACGTATCATCGTCTTGTCGCACCTGCAGTTTACGCGTATATAATATATTATGAGCATGTCATATATATAAAATAAATATTATATATTAGGTACATTGACGTTGAAAAAGCGCAGGTGAAACAAGCGCGGCTAATTATCCGTTAAGTCGGAATATTATGTTTTATGAATTATCGTTTTCGCCGGGCGTGCAGCTCGGAAGCGGCTTTTATTATTAATTACGATCATCCCCGTATTACTCGCACACACACACACACACACACACACACACACACACATATAATATATTTCATGGGCGTTTGTGTGGGTATGTGCACATAAAATAAAATGGTATGTCAAGAACTCGTTCTCTCTCTCGTTCTGCGGGTGGCGGCAGATATTATTATTATTGTTATTGTTGTTTTTATTATTATTGTAAACTAAATATTGAATTTCATGCAAGCGGTCGTAATAATATTAAAATATTATTGCAGCAACGTTATTGGAAACCAGTCATTTTTGTACCAACGACGGTCGCGGCCGCCGCCGAATTCTGCAGGATATAGAAACGAATTCTTTGAGTGGATAAACTAAAATTAACTCTAAATGCAGAGAAGACAGTGTTATAGATTTTTCTAACTGAAGAATGCAGATGCAAAATTCTGTTTTTAGAAATTTGTTCAATTTTGATTTTTGATTTCTTAACAATATAACGTTCAAACGAGATAATATGGATTGATGATTGTGTTAATTAGTCAGTCGTAGAAAATGTGTACAAAATTGACGTACACATTTTTCAAAATGCGCAGAGTAGAAGTACGTGCAGAGTTTGGTTTTACGTTTAAATGGTGATAACTGCAAAATTAATTTCAAATGCTGTAAGCTTTACGAGACGCCTGCTTGATGACGCAGAAGGATGCACAGAATCGGATCTTTGTTCAGGCTTATCAGGTCACTATTAAACTGGTCAGTCGGTTACCACGACTAACAAGTTCGGTTACTTATATAGCTAACCGTGTGTTCCACACAAATCTAACCAGTAAGCAGTAACTACCCACCTATGTGTTATTTCAAATTTTTCGGCTATTTTAATATGCAGTATTGCAGTGTCCGCAGACCAACACGGCTATATTATCAGCTGTATACAATTATAATATATATATAAAAACAATTTATGAATAATATCTGTACAGCCGTGTCCCCCGCCAAACATAATTATATTATAGGTTTGCCGCATCGCAGCGCTCCGGGTGGTGACCGTAATTTCCTCACCGTCGTCGCTATGTATAATGATAATAATATATTATATGAGTGCGCGTGTATGCTTTTATACCTAAATCATGTTATACGGATGCCTAAAACGTTATTTGTCGACGACCACGGTATACCGCAGCGAGATGTTTGGTTAAAAATAATAACACTCTGTTTGATTTAATTATCGCGCGTTTAGTGGGCTCGAAACGACCGTCGATCATGATAATAAAATATATCGCACCCATAGCTATTATAGTATAATAATATTATAATGTATAGATGAGGATCGTGTTGGGAAAGAATATTCTAATCTTATATTTCAACGAAACGGAATGGGAAATTCATCGAATTTAAGCAATCATTATTAATTCACAACTATTTGGCAGTGTTTTGAGACGCGTGCTATTTAACAGTAGAAAAAAACGCTAATAAATTGCAGAACAGCATCGGTCTATCTATATGTGCGTATATATATAATATAATTTACGGTATAATACACGCGTCATCATCATCATCATCATCATACCTACACTATACCACCGGACCTTGACATAAAAATAATAATAAATAATAAAATTATTAATATATTATGTTTTTGCAATCGTATACGCGAAACGACGTGTAAAAATATGTTATAAACGTTTATCGACCGATAAAAAAGCGAGTTGTTTTAACGACGGAATCACGAAATTAAACGTGTACCTTTTCCGGTAATAAAAGAAAAAAAATAATCACAAAATCTATAATATTATAAAGTTGATATTTTATAATTTTTTCTAGCTTTCAGCAGAGATGTTATTTTTCTGTATTTCTTTTTTTTATCGACATCTCACATAATATATCATACAAGTAAGTATAAGTAATCTATTAATTATAAAAAGTGAAACTACTTTTTTGTTAAAGTGCTGAATATTGTAGTAAAATAGCATGTTAGTATGTTATCGGCTTGTCAGTTGTCGATACTGTATGTGTACGGCGTAATCGGTACCTACCGTCAAGTGCGTCAAGCGTGTTTAATATATTATACAAATATTCAAACATTATTTTTACATATCGTTTGGCAATCATTTTAAAGAGTTGTTACTTATTCACCGACTCGCTGTTAATATTTAATAGCGTTCAATTTTTACAACAAAACATATGGTTAATGAAATGTGTGCAATAATGGTAAAGAAATGACGATTAAAGTATCTTTAGAAAATCGAATTATTTGTTTGTGTTTATCATGACATAGTGCTAAGCTTTTAACAGTATATAATATTATCTATTATTATTTACCTAATTTTTTTACTATTTTTTTTTTCATGAAAAAATGTCTTAGTACGATGGACAGGGTGACCACGATAATGGGTTGATACTTAATAACAAACAAATTTAATATAATATAACGGACGAATACCTAGCGTATACGTTGCAAATTCTTGGCACAATATTATAAAGATAACAATTTTATAATTCTGATAACCCCTTCCCCCATCTCCCTTATTAGGAAGCTGGGCCCTAAGAAATACAACATCCCGCCTATGGCGCATACATCACTAGTTTTCCTGGCGTCCCAAGACACGAACGCCCTGTACAATATACCCTGTATAATAACGAGCCCGATGTGCGTTACCACGACAGTTTGACAGATCGAAAAAAAAATATATATATAATATAATAAAAAATCGGTTGACATTTGTCAACGTCGTGACGTTTGCCGGAGGACGTACGTTTCTCCAGCCCCCCCCATATCGAAT